AGGCTCTCGGTGCCTGTTTGAGACCATATAAGGATCGATGCAGCAAACAGACTTGGCCTGGCTTTCCAACACGATATCCTGGTGGACGTTCCATGTAGATGACTTCATCCAAATCTCCGTGCAAGAATGCATTTTTTACATCAAGTTGGAGAAGTGGCCAATTCCTCTGAGCAGCAACAGCCAACAAGACCCGAACAGTTGACATCTTTGCCACAGGAGCAAAAGTCTCGTGGTAATCAACCCCCCCTGCTCCTGTGTGTAACCAAGTGCTACGATCCGTGCCCTGTAGCGTTCGATCGTTCCATCGGGTTTCACCTTGATAGTGTATACCCAGCGGCTACCAACTGTGGGAGTGTCGGGAGAAGGCCGATCCACCACAGTCCACGTATGGTTTGCATGCATAGCCTCAGTCTCATAATCCATAGCTGCTTCCCATAATGGATTCCCTTGAGCTTGTTTATAAGAGTTTGGAATATGCAATGCATCAATGCTATAAGTCATGTAGTCCTGATATCTTGGTGGAGGAATTCCTTGTGTTTGACGCAAGGAACGACGCAGAAGAGGTTGTTGTTGCGCTGGTGGAGGGGGCGATGGTGATGTTGGCGCTGAAGAAGCAGATGATGTCGTGGTAAAAGGTGAAGAAGTGCCAGGGCTGTCCGAGTGAGGTGGAGTGTGTGGGGGAGAGGCCATATCATCAGGGGGAAGCATGAGGGAATCATCGTCCGGGTCATCAAAATGGAATAATGGCAATGACTGGAAACCAGGAAAAATTGACTCGGAAGTAGAAGGATGTTCAAAGAATTGCAAATTTTCGAAGAACACTACAGTGGCAGCAATTCTAATACGCTGAGTTGATGGATCATAACACATATAACCTTTATGAACATCACTATACCCTAAGAAAGCACAACGAGCTGTTTTGGAGGTCAGTTTAGTTCGTTCACGTTTAGGGAGAAGAACAAAACATAAACAGCCAAAGACACGAAGACGAGAATAATCAGGATGACGGGAGTAAAGAGCAAAATACGGACTAATGTTACCAAGAACCGTCGTGATTTGGTAATTTATCAGTTTCACTGCCGTTGCCACCGCTTCAGGCCAGAAACGTCCTGGAACATGTGATGCTAGCAGTAAAGCTCTGGTAAGTTCCAAAACATGACGGTTTTTACGTTCCACTAGCCCGTTTTGTTGAGAAACGCCGGGGCAAGATTTTTGACACAAAATACCTCGATCTCGATACACATCACGCAAAGGAAATGAACTGAATTCTCCTCCTGGATCGGAACGTATGATTTTGACAGTACGCCCAAACTGGGTCTGAATCATGTTCAAAAATTCAATAGCTACTGCACGAAGTTCAGATTTTTGATGCAGAAAGTATATCCAGGTAAAACGAGTAGCATGGTCAATAAACAACGCAAAGTATCGGAAACCATGTCTACTAAGAGTAGGAGAAGGACCCCAGAGGTCAGTATGAACAAGGTGAAAATGATCTTTTATAACGGTGACACTAGAAGGAAAAGAAATACTGGTTGTTTTAGCTTCAACACAGCTTTTACAAGAGTGTGAACCTGAAATCCCAACATTGTTTTTGCCAAGCAACGACTTTTGAAACATAAGAGCCAACCGACTTGTATGTGGATGCCCTAGCCGGGAGTGACAGAGATCCCATACATTATTCGAAATACTAGAAAACACGGAATGAGGACTACTGACAGACCTATGATCATGACTACTGAAATTCAATGAAACTGATTGCCCATTCAATTCCTCTAAATGAAATAACCGGCCTCGCTTACTCCCCCTTCCGATCGGCCTCCCCGTCTTCAAATCCTGTACAATACACCCAGACGGAGCAAACACCACAGAATAACCCTGCTCAGTAAGCTGTCCAACCGAAACTAAATTTGGAACAAGTTGAGGAACATGCAGGGTATTGCTTAAATTTATAGAATCAGTAACAACATTACCCACTCCACGAACTGCCAATTTTTCACCATTTGCTACCGTTAACTCCATATCCTTAACTGGTTGCATATTATTTAACACTTCAGATTTTCGGGTCATGTGATTATAGCATGCGCTATCTAGAAGCCACGGTGGAGATTTACCTGATCCTTGAAGAGTTGCGAATGCGGCACTGATGGCGGTAGGGAGAGAACGCTGCAGCGCAGCATTAACCAATTGCTCGACAACATCAGCTGAAATTCCAGAGCTGCTGCCGACTTCGGTACGCTGTCCATGATGTTTTGGATAGTTTGGACCAGGTCCAGGACGCATTGCAGGTGCCCAGGTGTTTCTGTTCTCGGTCATATATGCCCCATAGGCCGGTCGATTTCCATAGCCAGAGCGTGGAGCTCCAGCATCGACTCGATCACCAGGACGTCCACCGTGTGTACCACCTGCTGCGGAAGGAGATGCAGCCCATCTAGCCTCATTTCGTTCTCGAGACCTGCACTCGAGAACAATATGCCCCATCCGCTTACAATATACACAGAAGTTCCGTCGTTTGCAATGCTTTTGCAGGTGTCCCTTTTCCCGACAATGGTGGCACTCCAATTCCGTGGCTGGGATTCTTCTTTGGAATTTCAGGTGCTCGACAGCAAGAGCAAAGGCGTGAGAACCCGAGCTGCGTGTGGTGGAATTGGCTGCCGCAACTAGCGTTTCACCCTCACTTGGTCGTTGATCTATCAACGCTTGTGTTCTTATCCTTGTCTCCTCACGCACAAGGGTTGCCAGCACACCATCAAACTTCAAAACCTCTTTATTGAGCAGGGTTGATCTCACTGATTCAAATTCTGGCCTTAAGCGCATAAAAAACTCAAGGATTCTGGTACGTTGCCTTTCATCTATAACATCTTCAGTCAGCGCAGCTTGCGGTCCCAACGCCGCTTGAATGAGGTCTTGTTCGGTCCATAACTCTTGGGCATGATTGAAATATTCGGTCACTGATTTATCTCCTTGCTCCAGACGAGCAATAGACATCTGTATCTCAAACTGACGTGCGGGATTAACAGTAGAATACAGGGCTGTCAAGTGTCTCCACATCCTGTTGGCAGTCGGAAATAATCGTAAACTCAGAGCAGTAGAAGCATCGACGCAACCCAGCAGCCAAAATCTCACTCGTGCATCGTTCTGGCTCCACTGGGCTCGTTCTTGTGCAGAGGCAGTGCCGGCAGCCGGCTGAGGTAGCGTCCCATCTAACACACCAAGCAATCCCCGACCTTCCACGAATACTCGGAATTGAAACTCCCATAGTGCAAAGTTCGTTGACATAAGACGCACCGACGGTCTATTAGAATCGATTTGCGATGGCTCTGATACCATGTTGAGAAACGTAAACAATAACGGAAATAACAGACACCGATTTACGTGGTATCCCTGGATAATCCAGGACTAATCCACGGAGGAGTGTGAAGGCTCCTCGGCTACTGATTTATTGATGATTTTCGTATCACAGAGTCACACTTACAAAGACAGCCGTCGTACAGTTCTTATACCTCAAGCTCGGCCAAACCCTAGATCAATTAGGTTTCCACGTTACTCTTCCTAATGATCATGGGCTGCATGGGCCATAATTGAGCTTATTGGGCTATACCTAACTATACGTACACTACTACTACAATACAATCAACATGCATGTTAGGGATTAGAGGTTTTGACTGAAAAGGGAGAAAAAGATATGACGGCCGTGACATGCGGTGGCCTTGAGCAACTCTCAGATGAGCCATCGAGAATAGGGATGGCAATTTACCCACCCATGGGTAATTTTGCCCAAACCCAAGTAGACCCATTTATTATGGGTAGGGTTTGGGTGATGTGTGTATGTGTTTGGGGTTTGTATATGGGTTTGGGTTAGATATGGATATTATCTAAATGGGTATGGGTTGGATATGGATATCCATTTACTTGAGGGTGTTTTAACTACACATGCAAAAATTGGACCTATTTGTAAAACTTGAAAAGTTTAGGTACCAAATTGTAAGACCAAAAAAATTTAGGTACCAAAACGTAATTTTTCATCGATATTTTGAGGACTTATATGCAAAAAAAAAAATTAAATTTAGGTACTAAATATGCATATCTATTAAGTTTAGGTACCAAACTGTAATTTGTATTTGGGCATGGGTACAAACCCAAATCCATTTGTTATAAACCCAACCCAACCCAAAGTAAATGGGTATGGGTACAAACCCATCAAACTTTACTCATATCCATATATTTGGATTTCATACCCAACCCAATTGGGTTGGATAGTAAAATACCCATGGGTATGGGCAAAATTGTCATCCCTAATCGAGAACAGACATGAAGCAAAGCGCCGAATGCCGGGTATGGTAGGAATCGAAATCAGTAAGACCCATTTTAGACCATGTATGCCAAGATGGGTAAATCAAACAGAGGAATATGAAAGGTACTGACAGAAATCGGTAAGGGGAGAAGTGGCTGGGAGGAAGAATGGTATTTGATTAGAAGAGATAGAAACTGAAGATTGTGAGAAGAGGAGCGACGGGAAACATAGAAAAGTCCGTAAAGAGAATTCTAGAAGGGTTTATTTTTTGTTTTGTTTTGCTTTATAAGGCCACAAAACGTGAAAACGAGAAAACAACAGAGAAAAGAGGACTAATTTTTTATTATTCTGTTTCCCAATTAATTTTTTATTACTAAATCTCAGTTTTTTTTTTCCTTTACCGCAGCACATGGATTTTCATTTAAGCTGAATTATTGTTATTGCGGATGGAATTGGTTTCTTTATATACTTAAAACTCAATTCTTCCGCTCACATAGACGGGCTAGCAAACAATTATCAATTGGAACCGGCAGCCGCAGCGAAGTGCGGACTATGCCACCCTAGTATAATTAAAGATAAGATTTCAGTGTATCGTACAACGAATAAAGCAACGATGCAAAGCACCACTAAAAAAAGTCAAAACTGAAGATACCCAAAATAGAGAAAACTCATACGCAGGCATGCATCTGACTTGATTTTTTTTTCTTTTTCATTCTGCTGAAAGCTTGGTCAACAAGTCTTTTAGCTTCCGACTTCTGTCCTCGTACTCTTGCATGCATGCATTAATCTTGTTGTCATCAAACCATTCCGAAGTTTCTCTCAGCACCCTCTCCACCTCCGCCTTATCGCCATCATAGATATGAAGCCTCTCAGCCACTGTCTTCTTCAAATCGTAAATGTCCCGTTCCAATTGGTTCCTCGCTTCAGCACGAGCCTTCTCCTTCTTGTCGTGGTCGGCCATCTCCCTTGCCTCTCGTATCATCCTCTCAATCTCCCTCGAACTCAAATTCCTCTTGTAGTTGTCGATGGCGAGGGACTTAGAATTCCCGGTGGCTTCCTCCTTGGCCGTGACGGTTAGGATTCCATCCGCATCAACCTCGAATGTCACCTCCATACGCACATCTCCCCTGTAGGTAGATCCATATATATTCCTCGGGGTTTAAGTAGACAAATGCATGCAATCTTGCAATGATTGACAACAAATATCCTACGTACCTTGGAGCCGGTGTAATGCCTGTTAGCATAAATCTCCCGAGCAAAAGACAATCGTTGGTCAGGCTTCTTTCACCTTGGTAAACCTGAAATTATATATATATATATATATTATTCACATAGATATATAGTTGTGATATGGTATAGGATGATCTGAAACAAAAAATCGAATACAAAATAATTAACCGGTTGCTACATATAGCGAGAGTACTGACCCTGAAAACCTGAGAAGTTTGCTGGTCAGAAATCGTTACGTACCTGCCGCGTGACTTCTTTGTAGGAATGGGTGTATTTCTAGGCACCACTACTGACATCAGATCGCCTAGGGTACCGATCCCCAAACTCAAGGGAGTGACATCGAACAAAATTGCCCCTAAAATCAAAACAAATCAAATCAAAATAGTTACGTTATATACTAGCTAGCTTGGAAAAATATGTGAGCGAAACTACCAACTCCAGGTCGGTCGGTAGTGAGATTGGCTCCTAGGATAGCAGCACCATAAGCCACGGCTTCGTCAGGGTTGATCCCTCTACTCGGCTCCTTCCCATCAAACATCTTCTTCAACATCTCCCTTACTTTGGGAATTCTTGTGCTTCCTCCAACCAACACTATCTCGTCAATCTGTTCCTTATTCTCCACCTTTGCATCTTTCAGCGTCGAATTCACCACTTCCATCGTCCTCTCGAAAAGATCCGAATTCAACTCCTCGAATTTCGCCCTCGTCAGGGGCTCGGAAAAATCAATCCCTTGTATCAAAGAGTCAACCTCTACTCTAGTCTGCATCTGACTGCTCAATACCCTTTTCGCCCTCTCACATTCCCTCCGCAGCTTCCCGAGCGCTTTCGGCTCTTCACTGACATCCTTGTCGTACCTCTTCTTTATCACATCGATAAAGTAGTCCACCACCCTCTGGTCGAAATCTCCACCGCCGAGATGCGTGTCTCCGCCGGTGGCCAGTACCTGGAATATGCCGTCCTCGATCTCCAAAACGCTGACGTCGAACGTCCCGCCACCTAAATCGTACACCACGATGTTCCTCTTCGTGTTGGGATCTTGGTTCACACCATAGGCTAGGGCGCCGGCTGTAGGCTCGTTGATTATCCGCAAAACGTTGAGCCCGGCGATAACGCCGGCGTCCTTGGTGGCTCGCCGCTGGGAGTCGTTGAAGTAGGCCGGGACGGTGACCACGGCGTTGGTTACTTGCTTCCCAAGGTACAGTTCCGCGGTCTCCTTCATCCTCCCCAGCACCATGGCGCTGATTTCTTCCGGGGTAAAGGTTTTCATCTCGCCGTTGACTTCAACTTGGACGCAAGGCTTCCCATCTCTTTCCACGACGGGGTAGGGCAAGTACTTTAGATCTCTCTGGACTTCTGGGTCGTCGAATTTCTTCCCGATGAGTCGCTTGACGTCGAAGATTGTCCCGCGCGGGTTGAGAGTGGCCTGGTTCTTGGCGGCTTCGCCGATGAGACGTTCCGAGCCGGCGGCGGCGGGGGAGAAGGCGACGTAGGAAGGGGTGGTCCGGTTGCCTTGGTCGTTGGCTATGATTTCGACGGCGCGACCCTTTCGAGCGACGGCCACGCAGGAGAAGGTGGTGCCTAGGTCGATGCCTATCACTTCGCCGCTGATCTCTGCGTCCTCCGGTGCTTTTCTTTTACCCACCATTACTTTTTTTTCTTTTTTACGATAGTGAATGACTGTTGGAAGTTCACATTTGCAGAGAGTTTCGTAGGTATCTATGATATATATAGGAAAATAAGAGAGAAACCCTAATCCGATAGAAATAGGGTATTGGGAATGGGCCGACAGTGTACAGCCCAGCACTCACGGCCCAGCTCGCATCCAGCCGCATCCCAGGCATGTCATGCACGAAGAGGAATCCCAATACAGCAAGGTTGTAATCAAATAACTCGAGTTGTTGGGAGAGATTCAATCGTGGATCATATACCACAACACTAACATAAGGAAAATCTCATTGGAAAATATACAAGGATAGGGCCCAACCCAACTGTCTAATCTTGACGAGTCTCTTATAAAAGACTAGTCACGGGCCCGGCCAGTTGGCCGGATTCACTTTGCGAATCACATAAACAATAGTAGCAAGTAGTGTTCACGTATTTGATAGTATAATAAAAATAAATTATTCAATTGTTCGAAAACATTCAAAATGATTGATAGCATAAGAGAATCTAATATTAATGAAATACTCGAATCATTCAAAAAGGTGATCATAGTGATTTCTGAATTCTAACTGACTCATCAACTAAAATCAGTTATGAAAATGGAAAGACAAATTCCATGAAAGGGAACCGACTCGACATCCAACTTTAAACCAAATATAACAGTCTGGTAAGTTCCTAATCTTCAATGTATTGAGAAACTCCACATAATAATCTTCCTCTATACGATGTTGCTTACCAGAATCAAACGTAATTGAATCTAAACTATGGTAACAAACTTCATCTCCTAAAAACCTTTCCATCACGTAATTATTCCATTTTATGATGTGGAGCTAATATAGCATGATGAACCATATAATTTCTTTCAGTGCAATTCAAATGGAGACCACCATACACATGATTCTCAATATCATCAATACCATCTCAATCACGTGGAATGATCAACGAAGCTGGAATTGAGATCATTGACTCCTCAAAAACATTGCAACCCACTCCCTCACCTATTTTCAAAAAATCATTTACTCGATTCTTTGATCCGAATAGTTTTTTTCAGTTTTTCGTGAACAATCTCATATTTAACAGAGCCTTAAAACTTTCAATGAAAGCCATAAATACGACTTCTTGATAAAAGAAGTGACAATATTTGCTCAGGTTACCGTAGCAATTAATGGTTATTTTGTCAAAAGTCTCAGTCGAACATTATAGAAATTCCTCCAAAGATCATGTCTTTGCCATTTGGATGTTTCACATGCAAAATATTCGAGAGTTCTAACCGTGAGGAATTTTACAATACTATATAGCATTGGTGCTATAGGTTTTTGCCTTTATGGTACAAATTGAAATTGTACATTTAATGTTACGGTACAACTTCAGATTGTACCTATACTATTCGTACAAATTCTTTTATGGTACAACTTAAACTTGTATCTTATGTGATGGTACAACTTCAAGTTGTAAAGTTGTACCATAACATAATGATACAAATTCTTTTATGGTACAACCTAAACTTATACATTTAATGTTATGGTACAACTTCAATTGTACATTAAAGCACCAATGCTATATAGCATAGTAGAAGTGCTCTCTAACCGTTGCTTCAATATTATTTTTATGACCCATGGAAGCATCATCTCGAATAATAAGATAAGCATTCTAAATCAACTCTGCAAACTCGCTTCATTTTTTAATATGACATGTCTTTTTGAGTCACAGTCAATTGGAATATGATATCGAGAATGAGCAACTCCTGCAACCATTAACAAAGCTGCATTATCAAAAGAAGGCAATGCACTAAACTACCTGCCGTTTTAAACAAATATTCTTCAAAAGAAATGTCTTCCATGTACCTCTAAACCATCAACAAAGAAGTAGTTCTCATTTCCTTCCTCCATAGCTTGAGCAATTTCATTGAATGTCGTCCTCCTCACTAAAGTCAATTTTGTTTGAAAAAAGCTAAACACATAAGTTTGATCTCATTGGTAGAACTGCTTATTGAGTAAACTTAACTCCCTTCTACGATTGCTCTATTCTCCTTTGTTTCATAAAGATTGCACATTAGAGACATGATAATGAATAAGAATTGTGACAAACAAATTCTATACTTTGTATCAAGAATCCGAAAAGGATATTTCTTTCAAACAATCACTCGAGTCATGTTCTGCCAGTTACTCGAGAGCATAACATGCTTTCTGGATGGAGTCATGAACAGAGCCGTTAATTGTTCTAATTTCTTCATAAGAACGACAATCACTAACTGAATACAGCAACATGGGAATTAAAATCTTTCTTTGATGTACATTATTATAATCTTCCAATACAAATCTTGTACTTCCTCATATGCCACCTTTTCATCTTCCAAATAAAATATTGAGGCAACACCACATAGGTATATTTTCATGCCTCAAAAGAATGAGCATTAATTTTCATCAATGCCAATAATATTGATGTTTCATTTCTTTCAATAGCATTTTCAACTGTGTTTCGTTCTCCTATGTTACTACTTTATTCTCCCTAATGAAAAGACATGACATGTACATACGTAACTGTCGTAACACAGAAGGTGAATTACAACTAACATCAAACTAAAAAAATCTCCAACATGCCTCACCTAATGTTATGTAATGACAATCTATGAATGGTTTAACCTCATCAAGATAAAATGTTGCTCAAAGATTTTTCTTGAGTTTTTTTTGTTGTTTTCATTACCGACTTGTTTAGAAGTCAAAGTCAACATATTTAGATTCATATATTTCCATTCCAAACTCAAAAAGGTATTTTTTTTTTAATTTTGTGATAATTTTATTCGCTTGGTCTAGCAAGTTACATGTCTAAAATAAAATTATGTAAATATCTAAACACTTTACCTAAATCACAAATTAAAATAAACCTAAACCTCAACACACACCCCTCAGACTGTACAATTTTAAAAAACAATTTCGTAACTAAACAATAAGAATATAGTAATTATAATAATAATGGTGAATACTGGTGTACGTCAGGCGTATAGTATACGTCAGGTGATCTAGCCGTTAGATGTAGTTAGATGAGCTCCGGCCAATCTCAACGGTCAATTTTTGTTTTCATTTAATCAAACTTTGGGTTAGGGTTTAGAAAATGGGTGCCTGAGGTTTATCCATTAGAGGTTAGGGTATAGTATCATACCCCAAACTCGATTTAATTCATGGTCTAGATAGAGATATCTCACTAGTAGTACATGACGTATAGTATACGCCTGACATACGCCAGTCTGACCCCTAATAATAATAATAATAATAATAATAATAGAGCGGTCCTACTTTACCAATTGCATGATATATTTATCTAATGAACATATACTCTGTGTTCATCATTTTTAGATTGACCTAGTTTACCTCCAATAAAAGTTGATGCAAAGATCCTATAATAATCTCATATATGTTTCAAAAAGTGACACCTCAATAAAATAAAAAATCAAGAGAGAAAAAAAAATTATTGTTTTTTATTTTCCTATGTGGGTTGCATGTTCAATTTCATTTCATGCAAGCTTGTATTTTTGCAAGTGCCCACTACATTGGTGCAATCCCTTTTGCAATTGCTTTTTTGAGTGCCATGTAGGATTTGCAATTGAGCAAATACCATTGATGTTGATGCTCTTATATCAGTGTAATACATATGAAATATTTAATTTATGGTTTATTTAGTTTAAAACAAAGTTATTACGTCACTATTTATTATCGGTTAAACTATGAATACTATTCAATCAAATTGTCCATTACTGTTGCATAAATCAAGATTGAATAAATTAGTAAAAACAATTTTCTTATTTGGCATGACTTGTAATTTTTTACTTTCCATGGCCCAAGTCCGTGTCAACTGTCAATTAAAATAGTGTTTTTACCTAACTATCCTTCCGCCCTTTGCGCAAGAGCCAGGGAAATTGCAATTGAAAGGGTTCCAATGCGGAACCTCCATAAAGGTATGTTTAGACTAGATTAAGCTCTGCCCTTTGTGCTGGCATTATTTTTTTATTGTATATGTCTATAATCTCGCTATTAAAATAATAAATTTTACAAAACAAAATAGATAGTTTTCTTCACTAAAATAAAATAAAACTCCTCAAAAATCGACTTTTCTCCTGAACTGTTTAAAAGTTTTTACAAAAATACCACTCAACTCCAAAAAATTCCAAAAATACTACCCTTTTTCGAAAACCGCCACTCCACCTGGCGGTTTACACGAAAACTGCTGGGTGGGGGCGCGAGATTCGACGAAAACCGCACGGTTACGGGGCGGTTTTGAAAACCGCTGGGTTGGGGGCGGTTTTGGGCCAAACCGCCACCCCACCCAGCGGTTTTGGTCCAATTTTCTTTTCCGATCAACTTCTAACCTCGGCCGAAACTTCAAACGAACGTAACTTTGCACTCGGGTAGCCGATCGCATCAATTTTTTTTAATCCGCATAACTTTTCGAGATTTTGCAAGCCGCAAATAACCGTAGGCGGTTTTGGTCCCCCCCTCTGTCCTGAAAAAACAACGTTTGCTACCCCGAAATAGCTTTTTTCCGATTTCGTCAAACATTGGACGGCCATAACTTTGTGCTCAAAATTCGAACGTCACAAACTTTTTTTTAATTCAGCATAACTTTTTAAGATCTACAATTTTTACTAGGATGGAATTTTCAAAACAGGAACTAGTTTTGGATATACGGGATCTTCGGAATAACTTTACCTTTACTTTTCCCAAATCCATGAACATTCCGAAATTATGGCTATGATAAAAGTTGTAGTAATTGAAAAGTTATGCGGAATCAATTTTTTTTTATGACATTCGGTTTTAAAACACAAAGTTATGACCGTCCAAAGTTATTGAGGCTTTTTAGCATTCAAGGATTAAAATTTTGTCAATATTTAATTCTTTCAAAAGAGAAGTTGTAGTGTGGGGGTCTAAATGTTGTGCTGAATTTATTAACTATTTAATGTATTTGGGTTCGAACCACCACTGATTTATG